AAGAGCATGTGTATTCATTCAAGGCGTCTATACTTACACATTGGAGTGAAAGTAAACGGCAGATAGACATATGTTCAAAATTATATTGAGAGGGAAAAAAGCACCATTATATATACCTTTATATAAAATGATAGAAATATGTATACAAGGAAACAGAAGCATATATGCAAGTCAATGTAAATCAAAGATACTGTGATAGATTCTTGTCTAAGCAATGATAAATGAGTGTAGTCTGAGAGAGACAGACACACAGGGACATGAGCTGGGGGGGGGAGCTATACTATGACAAAGATCTCAGAAGGGTAATTGTGTGTGTGTGTGTGTGTGTGTGTGTGTGTGTGTGTGTGTGTGTGTGTGTACATTGTGTGAGTGTGCCACTATTGCATGCAAGCATGAGTGCATGTGTGGGAAGGCTAGAGCCCAATGAATATCTCCCCCATCACTCCTCCAATTTACTGGGGTTTTTAGACAGGGTCTCACACTGAGCCATGTTCACCTGTTCAGCACCTCTGGCTAGGCTGAGAGCACAAAGCGCCCTTCTGTCCTCACCTCCCTAACACTGGGATTGAAGGAAGAGATGAGCCCCCTGAGAGGTTTCCCAGGCCCAAGTGATCAGCCCTTTACCTCACACGTGAACAACACTAATGTGACCTGTAGGCTATGATTAGTCAGTCCCTCTCTCTTTATGTAATCCATAGTTATAGAGGAGGACGTGATTGTGAGAAGAGATATGGAGGCGCAGGGAAGGAGCTGGAGGAGAAAGGACAGATCGAGTGAACACACATCGTACTCATTGCATGAAGTTATTTGAATACATGTATAATGAGGGTGGGGAGAATCACCTTTGAACCTGTGAAGCCGTTGAGTGACTTGCTGTCTGACTTCTAGGGAAACTGTAGAGAGCACATCTCACCCTGACACTCTGACTGCATCCCGCAAATCAGTGTCCTCATCACACACAGGCTCTGATTCAAGCCTGGACAGGACTGCCTTAAACTTCCCATCAGGCCTCAGGAGTACCCAAACTTCTGCTTAAAATCATGAGGATTTTAGTTGACTCCAATTTTTAATGATCTGCTTTCTGTTGGTGTTACAGTAACAGGTACGTATGTGATGATACTAAACACAATTTGTGAGAACTTCTTAAACTATCACAAGGTAGTTCTCTTTCTAAATATCAGCATGTAATACATCAAGAAATAGGAAACAGCAGTAAAACCAACCTATAAGCAGTATATTTAAAAAGTATTTCTTAATGTTCCCGATTATACATAAATTATAAAGCAGTTTACCGGGCTGGAGAGATGGCTCAGCCGTTAAAGGCTAGGCTCACAACCAAAATAAAGCAGTTTACTTATTTCTCAAATGTATATTTCCACTAAACCCTAGATTCCATCCCAGTGTGCAAAAGTTTTGCTAAATCTTTAATTTCGTATTTTGGTTTCCTAAGAAAAAGCTAAACACATTTGAGAAGAAAACCTGCTGTTCCTGCACAATAGAAATGCCTTACAGCATCTGGAGAGACGGCTTGGTGGCTGGGAATGCTAGCCACTCTTACAGAGAACCTGAATTCAGTTCTCAGACCCCACAAGCAGCTCACAACTGTCCATAACTCTAGCTCCACGGAATCTGAAACCATCTTCTGGCTTCTGAGGCCACTGAATACACATGATGCACAGACATACACACAGACAAAACATCCATACACGCATAAATAAAATAAAACTAAAAAACACAGTATAAAGATACATTTAAAAGCTATAAACCTGGAATTTTGTTAAATGAAATTCGGTCTATTTTCAGATAAAGAGAACAGGTAAATATTGAACAAAATAACAGTATACATGCATGTATATACACACAAAATATATATGAATATGTTATGGCATATATTGCATATCAATGTACTCTATATTAACCACATATTATATTATATATATAATCACACTATGTATGGAGAACATTTTGACTTTAATAACTGAAATTGCCTCTACCTTTGGATTACAAAATTAAGAATGTTATAACTAACAAATGTCAAAAATGTAACAATTCAATAATACATGAAAAATTATTTAAACACCCTTTTTAAAAACACTCAAATAAGCCGGGCGGTGATGGCGCATGCCTTTAATCCCAGCACTTGGGAGGCAGAGCCAGGCGGATCTCTGTGAGTTCGAGGCCAGTCTGGGCTACCAAGTGAGTTCCAGGAAAAGGCGCAAAGCTACACAGAGAACCCCTGTCTCGAAAAACCAAAAAAAAAAAAAAAAAAACTCAAATATAGTGTTTCATGTTAATCCAACAGGTTGCACTCTGAGCCCCATTGGCAGTTAATCCTAGACAAAAAATGAGCATGTCAGTCATCATGTAGGACTAATCCCATTACATACAAACTGACATTTATGTGCACATTTTTCACTTGAGCCCACAGGGGTAGAGCATCTCCACATGATTGCTCATCATCTTATTAAGAGGAATACTGTCAGCCGGGTCGTGGTGGGGCACAGTTTAATCCCAGCACTCAGGAGACAGAGGCAGGTAGATCTCTGTGAGTTTGAGGTCAGCCTGGTCTACAAAATGAGTTCCAAGACAGCCACGGCTACACAGAGAAACCCTGTCTCCCTGTCTCGACAAACCAGAAAAAAGGAGAGGACTACTGTAAGAGACAAGCACACGCACTTCAAAGACTCGGGACTAACCAAGAAATCATGACTTGAACTCATGTCTCCACATCAGTCTGCCCATCCTCAGCCACTCTGTACCCTCCTCTCGCCCTGACACCAATGCAAATACATCCTGGACCACGATTTCTTTGGGAATTTTACCCCACCAAAGTCTTAGATTTTGTCACTCTACAAAGCGCCTTGTCTGACAAAAGGGTGGAAGCAGGTTTCAATGCTCTACCTTTAGCGTGCTGGCGGGACTGCCTCCCGAACCCTCACTCCTTCCTCTACTCCATTCATTCACACTATGTTTCTCCACATAATCAATCAATCAGATAAACAACTAAAAATTCAATATATTAGTATGCGTGGGCCTCTGAGAAACAGCAGAGGGAAAACATCACACAAACAAATCTTGAAAAGTTTGTCTCCTCCTCATTCTGTGCTTTTATCCCTGTAGCTCATGGATCCAGCTCCCTCCTTACTGGTTCTTCTCCCAACAAGCATGTTTCCCCTCCCCCACTGTACCACATTCCACCAACTCCCCATCAACAGGCTCTTGTCTATCATCCCCCCAAGATCTTACCACTCACTCATTCCAGTATCACTCAGTTCAACATCAGCATCTTCTGCGTATTGTCTAGGTATAAGTTATTATTATGTTCCTCTCTGGAGGCTCACAGACAATGACTGTAAGCAAAAGGCAACCATCATAGCAATTTAATTAAGTACTGGAAAATTTGAGTTTCATTTTCTAGCCCCCACTCCCCCTGGTCCTCCCTCCCTCCCCTCCCCCGCTTCATAAACTCTTGTATAAACCCACTGAGCTGGCCTAGTGCAGGAATCGTGTACATACATACAGGACTGCTCACTGGAGCGCGGGCAGCCTATCAAGGGTCATACCTGAAGAAAACTGGCACACATCCTGTCTGAGCAGCCTGCAACTGCCACTAGCTTCTCAGCTAGGGTGTGACCTCAGGAGCCCTTTCCTTCTCCATGCTGGAATTTTTTAATTGGCTCGATCCTGTCCAGGGTTATGGTGAGTGATTATTGTGAGTTTCTGTACGTAACAGCCATGTCATGTTCAGAGGACAGGGTTTTACAGCATCCTCTGTCTTTACACTCTTTCTGCCCACTCTTTTCTGATGATTCCTGAGCCTTGGAGGTCATCCTAAGGCACAATTTTTAAATTTTGAAGATATATTAATGCCAAGAAAACTTGGGTAGAAGACTATAACTCAAGCATCTCCTTTATGAAATACAAGTTTTCTCAGGGGTCCTTTTAAGAATCAAGGAAGAAGAAAAATAAGCAGAAACAAAACCCTCATCTATAAGGCAATTTAACAATTTAGTTTTGACCAACTGAAAACCAAAGTTTAGAAATAGTTTTTCTATTGATGTTCATTAAATTTAAAACTCTATCTTAATTTCCATTCTCATTTGGATTTGGTATATTCAACAATTAATCAAAAATAAAAGCCAATTAGTTCCAATTGGTATACAACTAAATAATATACCTCAATATGGCTCTAATATCTGTACTATACGAGTACAGTATCCAACAGATATAGCTAGATTCATTCACAATTCTAACCCATCTGAAATCTTTTTGCAAAATCTTTATCTGTAACACACATACATTTTATGTGTCCTCATCTATATTCACTTTGTTTTCATATCTATGCCATTAGAATATTTGCGTGAGTTTTCATACTCTTAGGACAACATATGTAAATAAATCACACAGCGATTTGAAAATTTAGCAGCTAAATATGCAATCTGTTAAGCATAATCAGGCACGCTATTCAACAACTGCGTGATGCAATTCAGTCTTTCCAGAGAAAACACATGTTTTGTATAAGAGTATCTTCACAAAACTTGATGAAGTTTTCCAGAAAGCTGTATTAACATGGTTTTGATATTCAAAAATTAATATGTAAAGCCTTCTGACTAATGCTTAAATAAAAGATAAGCTCCCCTCGCTGTATCTTGACAAAACCTCACTTCTCTCTCTGCCTGCCATTTGTAAACATGGTTCACCAATTTGATTTATTTTCAAAAAAGAAAATGTAAAATTTTTGAGATTTTGTTCATATAAATGAAAAAAATATAAAAATTAATGGTTATTCACAAGTTTTTGTAAGCTGTTTTGTATTTTAATTTTTATTGTTCATTTTACAAATATGGTGATCATCACAAATCCTTCCATCTACTTTTCAGATAAATAAATTCCTATTTTGAAGACTCACTCAGTGTTTAAACTCAGTCATCAAAGAGCGTCAACAATTCCATGTACTTAACAGACTGTAAAAAACATTAATTCGAAATAAGTACTACTACCTTGGTCTGAATTTTCATAAAACACGCCAGATCTCTTGCCAGGTGACACCATTTCTTTGGGTTCTGTGGGCAAGGAGAGAGAAGATTAATAAAAACAACCTTTCTTTTTACTCTCTAAATGCTTCTTAAAGAAGATTCATTAGTAATAAAGGTCAGAGAAGAGAATCATTTAACACAATACTCAGCTTCATTCAGCAGCTGCCTCAGGAGCCACTTGCCTTAAATGCCAAATAATTCCCCAAAGGTCCTTTCTCCCCTGCAACTGAGAACATGGGTGACTGTGGCAGATCCTCAGCCTGTTTTCCTTTGATTCTTTTCTTTTCTCACACAGAAATAAGATTTGCACTTGGCGAGGAAAAGCATTAGCTTCCGTAATTTCAAAAGACAAGCTGTAAGCCATGTTGGGACCCAACATTTATGGGAACACAAAAGACTGAAATGGAATTTGCAATTATTCAGACTTACTCCCCTCCCTCTCCCCATGAGGATGGGCTCTAAAATATTCATGCAAGTCTGTGTCTTTTCACAGAAATCAAAAGATGAGAAATTGTAGGATGGCTGTAAATAATTGCAGATTACTTTCCTTAGGAGATGCGATTCCCAAGCTTTTCTATGCTGTGAACGGGGAGGGAGACACTCTATGAGAGTCAGAAGTTATGGAAATACATCTTGTCTCCTCCCTGAGCATGTAACAATCTCAAGGAGTGTCCCATAAAAGATTTTACTGCATCGTTATCTGAATGTTAGGATTGGAGAATGAGAAATTCAGGGCTGAGCAATAGCTGTGCAGAAAGGGCTGTCATGTAAGAAGGTGAGAATTTTAAATTCACCCTTTAAGGAAGTTATTTAACTGGAGGAATGTTAACAGTTAAAAGCGGCATTAAATAATCGGCTATGTCAGCCATTATCAGAATAATCATTTAACTGCAATCGCCACACTTACCAGCTGTGAGAACTCAGGCAAGTAAATTAAACTCTGCATGCATTCACTTTTCCTCTGCAATACAGGACTGATTATGCCTCCTACTTCATAGAGTTAGTATGATGATTAAGTGAGATAAATAAATCTAAGGGCCAGGAGACAGTGCCAGCTAAGCATAAGGAGTGTCAGCTAATATAATCATTGGTGTAGTTATTAGAATTATTAGCAGCTTTCTGCTTTAGAAAAGTCTTATGGCCCCATTGAGAGTCAACATCCTAGAGAGAGGCAGAGTGAGATGACTAAACCATAGCACACTGGAAATTGCCTCATTTCCTTGTTGATTAATCAAACTCTGTGATAGGCAAAGAAACACTCAGTTTAGATCTTTGACAGATACGTCATAAAGATTGAATCATGTTTCAGGAAGATCATCTCTAAGGTATCAAGCTAATCTGAAGGCTTACATCTTGAGTTTGCACAGGACTATGGATTTAAGAAGCCCTCCAACACACTGTGGTAGTCTTTAAGGTTCTCATAATGTATCTAACCTTGTCCTCTCGGGTGAAGTATTGATTCCATACCAGAAACATCTACAAAAAGCCAGACTCTCATACACTTAAGAGAAACTGTAATAAAAAATAAACTGAATGAAGGTGTGCTGTAATTAGGGAAACATAGTCCAGACAATTATGCCAAGAAACAGGTAAGCTTGCCAGCATTAAACAGCATGTAATGTGTTCAAGTTGCAGAATACATTGAAAAGTAATCTGTAGGGAATTGAAGACGATGACATGGGAAAATATTTCAAAAGTATCTACAACACAGTCTCCACACAGACACAGCAGACAACTCGCTTTCTCTGTGAAAACTTCACAGGACAGGAAGTCCTTGAATGACTGAGTCATGGTTTGGATATTCAATACCCTTCGCTGGGAAACCCATGTGTGGGATTCTTCGTTCCCAGGGAGGAGCTATGGGGCCCTGATAAAACCTGTAGAAAGTGGGTCCAGTAGAAAGACCTTAGGTTGTGGGGAGCCTTCCCCCAAAGACTGGGGACTCTTGCCCATCCTCTTCCTCTTTGTTCCCTGGCTCACAAGGTGAGGGATGGGCTTAGCCACTTACCCCAGCCATGATATACTAAACTTTTCAGGCATTGAAAATTATAGAGCCACTTTTCCTGGGAGTGACACCTCGAGACTAGTGAAGTAAGATAAACCTTTTATCTTTATAAAATAACTATCCCAGTGTATTATGTTATAGCAACAAGAAGCAGGCAGACTCAGACTTTCAAGGGAGACAGAAAAATGTATATAAAGAACTAGAAAATAAAAAATATGAAGACTACTTTGCTCTGACTGTACCTACTGTACTATACATGTTCTCAACTCTCCTTAGCATGTTCAGAGAATCTCTGGACAAAAAATCAGCAGCACTGGGATGAAAATGGATAAAATATAAGCATTTGCAGTAACTGAAACACTCCTAAGAATAGATTTTTTTTAATACCATTTTAGGTTCAGTGCATAAAAACAGCACAAAAAGTATTTGCCGAGCATGCTGGACGACCTGGATTCAGATCCCAGAATCCTTGTGAAAAGTCAGATGTCCTGGCCTCGGCATTGGCAATGCCAGTGTGCCTGTGGGAAATGGATGGTAGAGATGGATGCTCCAGAAGCCTGCTGGTCAGCTACCCAGCTTGTGCAGCAGGGAAGAAACCCTGCACCAAAGTATTAAACATGTAAGAAAAAAAAAAGGCTAAGGCTAACAGCAGAAGGTTGTGCTCTGATCTCTGCTAGCATGACCCCTGCCCACAGACACATCCACACACACACACACACACACACACACACACACACACACACACACACACAGGCAACCAGAAGCATATTCTGTATATTTTGAAAATAGAAAATATACAATCAGAAAGAAAGCTAGAAAGCTTTGGATTTCTATCCCCAGAAGTTGCAGAGCATAAATCTCTTCTTTGAAACCACATAGTCTGTGAGAATTTGCAGTCGCTTTAGGAAACTAATGAAACATTTCAGTGGATGGAATTGGGCCTCTGCCTAGACTCTTACCACCTCGAGGTTTTTATCAAGTTCCTTGAACTCACGGAAACACTCTTAACTGAGAAAGCAGAACTCAAGTGTATGAAAACGTGATTTAAAGTTGATTCTCTGTTCAGAGCTAGAATCCGCAGCTAATCTGCCAATCCACTGAAACCAACAGCCAGGGAAGGGGAATCCGTCGCTCCCTTTGTTCCTTCCTTACCAAAGGGCTGACTTTGTGTCCCTATGTCCCTGGAACAAGGGATAGAATAAAAAGAGGAAATAGAGAATGAGGAGCAAAGTGGAGTTGCCCTTCCGGCAACTGAGCCAAGAGGACTTGGGATGCGGGTCTGGCAAGCATTTAAGCTGAGTGTCAACTACAGGTGCATTTCCCCAGGCGGCTTGCTGTTGATCATCGCCTCTATCCTTGGACCTTACACACGAATTGCTGCAACCACAGCTCCAACCGTTAACTTTTTTACCCATCAAGACTAGTTCAGCTGCTGGACAGCCCTTGAGGAGGGACCTACATCAATCAAAAATATGTTCGTTGGCTACATGTCTTCCCAAGAAAACTCAAAGGATCCCCAGAGGCAGCCGCTAAGCGCTGCCCGGCTGCCTCTGCCTCACCGCACTGTAAACTGCTCACTAGCTCATCTCTTCTCCTCTTCTTTCTCAGAAACCAAGGCGCTGCTTCCACTCTCTCCCCTGCACTTCAAGAGACCGAATTAAACTCTCCTGTTACTGGCACCAACAGGAAAACACCTACACCCCTCCCTCCGCACACAGATACTTCTAGCATATTCTCAGCTCATCCCCAATAAATCTTCCCATACTCTCCAAACCTCAGAGCCCTTTTATTTTAGAGATGTAGAACTTATCTGATTTCCTTCTTAGTAAGGGAGAATTTCTCTAGGGTGATCTAGCTCATAAATCATGTGACTATCTGATAGCTTCTGCTGTAAGGGGTCAAATTTTAACTACTTTATATCTTGTAGTATTGGTTTTTCACAATTCCAGCTTACCTACAGGAAAATACCTAAAACTTGTATGTCTATTGGATACTGTATTTTATTTTATTTTATTTTATGGTCATTCCATGAATGTTTTATTGTTCTTCTGTTGTAGCACTCCTGCTCCATCAGGCAGACTCCCAAGTGGCTGCCACGGTGCGCTCTCTCTCTCTCTCTCTCTCTCTCTCTCTCTCTCTCTCTCTCTCTCTCTCTCTCTCTCTCTCATTTCCATTCTTAACAACAGCTCCTTCTGCTGTGGCTCAGGCCTTTCTTCTCAGCACTATCCGAATTTACCTCCTGTCAGAACTTTAATACCCGCTTTCCCACAAAGTGATCCCCAGGTAGTTTGGACTCTGTTGGTTGGATCACTCACCACCACCGTACAGCAATTACAGTCAATGCCTGCAATTTATATTGCCTCCTTGCCTGGCCTTGTGCTCTGTGTCTCTCCACCTATTTCAATTTCCTCAAGGACAATTGGTATACCATGCCTATTGCTGATCTCCTTTGCCACTGAATGCAATGATTAATGAATAAAAAGATCCTTAGGAAGTATATTCCACTTTCTACAAATTAAATATTAATGCAGATAAAACAGTTGACTTATGTAGTGTGAATACCTCACCATGTCGTATGAGAACAATTGCATAGCCAGTCCTGATTTTTGTCACATCAATTATAGAATAGAAAAAATCTATAGGGTAAAAAGACATAGAAAACAAAAGAGCATGTTAGAAGCCAGTCACAACACCACAAAGGGATGCTCCTAGGTGGGAATATATCCAAAGGCAGTCTGTATTTGGCCTTGCTTTTCTGCCGAGGATAGCACTTGCCTCAGGGAGAATTAAGACTGTTACAAGATAAATTGAAAAGGCGACAGTGTGAGTTTTGATATCTGGAAAGAATTCTGGACCCAGAGCAACATCAGGCTTTACTTAGAGATAAAACAAGTTTTACACAAAAATATTAGAAGATGTAGAACTTGACCATAGGTTCAATCCCCAAAACAAACAAAATGTAAGATTGACATACAAGTTATTATTTCAGTCCCTTGGGTATAAGGGTTAATGATTTAGATCT